TCTAGTGGGATCATGACCCTTATCAAATCTGTGGTAATGTTCTGTGTATAGCACATAAGTATAACTAGACCCCATAGTGTTACAGTTTTCTCTCTGTTGCTGAAGGACTCTGACCAAAAGCAACAAAGGGAGGTTACGATTTATATTACCATAGAGGAGGATAACGACTGGACTATAAAAAAAGATTAAAGATAATTTAAAAAAGGATTTATATTAACTTATGGTCCATCATAGAGGGAACTCGAGGAGAAACTTGGATCAGAAGCCATGGAGGACTGATGCTTGCTGTATTGCTCACTGGCTCATGCTGTTACCTTTCCCACCTTCCCAGGGAATGGCCCTACCCACAATGGACTGGGACTTCATATATCAATAAAAGAGAATCATCCACAGATATGTTCACAGGCCAATCTGATCTGAGAAGTTCTTGAGAGTTCCTTCTCAGATGATTCTAGGCTGTGTCAGGTTGACAGTAAAAGCTTAGGTAGGACAGACACTGAGTAACAACTGTGCGACTCGTTATTCATTTACTAGACTGAGCACATCACAGATACTAAGTAACAACTGCATGACTAGTTATTCATTTACTAGACCGAGGACATCATACCACACTTTTTATTGTTTTACAGTACACTCTTATCTCTTTCTTTCTCGAGTTTATACAAAACAGCATGTTGTGCTCTGTCAGTACCAGCCTCAGAGATTTAGTGCTTACTATGCCCCTTAACTGGATCATTTTCTCATCTGCCTAATTTAGTCTCCGGGGATTATACTACCACATTTAGTGTGTCCAATGCTGGAAGTCAAACCCAGGGCTTTGTGCATGCCAAGCAAGCACTCTACCAATTGAGCTATGTTCTCTGCCCCTAATCTTAAATTGTTCATTTATCAGAGCACTAGGAATAGCAGTTTGTATTATCTCTATGTATAATACAGCCTAAGTGTGGTAGGCTGTGCCGTTTCTGTGTAAATACATTATATGATGTTTGTCCAATAAAAATCATCTAATATTTTTTACCCAGGACATATCCCTTTATTGGTAGGTAGGTGGTGGGAGATTCTAAGTCTCTGAAGACTAAGCTGTCTCATAATAGATTTATTTTGGCTTTTGTATGATGGACTTTGAGATTTCTTACTGAAGGTGAAACACAAGAATGTTCTTATAATAAAGGAAGTAGGGCCCTGTTTACATGTAGATATATCACTTCCTGATTATGTCTATCATCATTAAACTGAGGGGTTTTTTTGTTTTGTTTTGTTTTGTTTTGTTTTGTTTTGTTTTTTTGGTTTTTCGAGACAAGGTTTCTCTGTATAGCCCTAGCTGTCCTGGAACTCACTCTGTAGACCCGGCTGGCCTCGAACTCTCAAACTCAGAAATCTACCTGCCTCTGCCTCCCAAGTGCTGGGATTAAAGGTGTGCGCCACCACCACCCGGCTTATATTTTTTTGAAGTGAAAGAAATTAGAATATGATTCCTTCAGTAAAATAAAGCAATTTATCTCCTGGCCTTTGAGTTTCTTAAGGGCAGAGGTTAAGTTTTTGGTTGTATATTCTTGTATGTAAGTAGCTATGCACTATATATGCACCTATTATATTGAAACTGGATCTAAACTTTTTTATCATTTTAAAAAAGTGAGACACAAGGGGGTGCTATTTACCATATCACTTCTAATGTTTGACTTATTAAAAACCATTCTCCTTGAGAAATTATAATAGTACTTTCATTATTATTTGTGGTCCAGGTTAGAACCACCAAGGTCCTTTGAACAACTAAAAAAAAGTCTTTTTTATACTTTTGCAGATAGTTTTATGCTAAGTATGTAACTTGTGGTCTCTGGGTTTCTATTTATATTAAATTTTCTAATTATATTAAGTATTTTTTGCTGAATGAAAACATTATTGAATAGCTTTTTGAAGAGGGTTTGAATTTTTCAGCCACACTTAATGTTTGAGTCTTAAGAATTTGTTTCATAAACAAAGACCACGTAGTTATAATGAGCTTTTGTTGTTGTTCATCTATTGTCCAAGATTTTCAGAGCTGATACTTGTATCAAATATGAGAGCCACAATCTGTGCCCAAATCAGATCTCACCACCTGTCCTCAGTAAGCCAATTACAGGTGCAAAGTAGAAAAGGATTTCTTTTGCAGGAAGGACATTGACAAGAAGGCCAGAAAGATGCCCTGAAGGGCAAAGGATGTATGCATCTAAGCAGTTCTAGTAAAGGTATGGCCGTGCAACTGTTAACCCATTCTTGTCTGGACTGAAGTCTCATTCTGAAAGATAGTTTCATAAGCTGTTAGAACTAGGTGAAGTCTCTTTCTGGGAGACTTCCCACTCTGACTGGTGCCTTTTTCTTTCTCTGAACATGAGATTACTAGAGGAAATTCTCATTTCTTTGGGGTTCATTGTTTCAACAATCTGATAGATTGAGAGATACAGAGTTTCTCTTTAGAATATCCTCTTTTCTGCCAGGCCAGTTACCATGTGGTTAAGTTAAAAAAAAATCACACAGTCTTGTCAATGGGAGCATGTAGTTACCTTGTCTCATTTCTATATTAGTACTTACAAGCAGAATTAGATTATTCTATTACTGTTTTAATTTTAGAATCATCCCATGTTTGTACATCTATCCCAGGTACACAATATTGGCTGTCATTTGTTAGCTTGGGTCTGATAACTGTGCTCTGAAGTAGTTTAACTAAAACTTTCCAATAATCTAGAAAGTGAGTAGTCCTATTATCATTTTACAGTTCTGAGACTAGAAAGAAGTTAAATGATTCTGAAGGCCATAAAGTTGGATAGCAGCAGAATAAAAATTTGAAGCCAAATCTTAATGATTTCAAAGCTTCGTTCTCACCATGTCACACTGTTTATGTAGGCAGGCTGTTTTATGGTCTGTCGTCAGTTCTCCAGTGGCACGTGTAGCGGTCTTAGGAACTTTGTCTTCTTTACCCAACATTATCTGCACATTAAGTAGGTTCATCCAATCTTTTGTAACAACAAGTAAATGAAGGAAAGCTGTTTGTATACCATCCTCACCAGAATAGTTAATCTTTTGGTACTAAAAGCAGGATGACTACAGCATGTAAGTTAAAACCACAGAACTAAGGCAGGTATAAGCATGCCAGACCACTAAACATGTGCTTCTGAGTCATAAGTCTACTAATGATTTAGGACTAATCAATTAGGAGACTCATGAAAACCAGTTCTAGATAGTTGTGATTTAAAAATATTTTGTTTTCTTCTGGAAAATAGTTTTCCTGTCCTTGATTTAGGTAGTGGTTTCTTAAATTGAGACATGTCAATAACAATAAGCTGTAAAAGAAAAAAAATCAGAAAAATCAGACTTTATGGTAAACACTACCAGGGTAAATAGCAAGTCATCATACACACATAGAGATACACAGCATAAATAAAATGTAGTCATGTGAGTAGAGGAAATTGTGTCTATACTGGGTTTTAAAGAATAAGCAAATGTTCTGTGAGTAGAAAAGGAAAGGGTAGTCCTGCTGGTAGAGATAGCACACAGGTTGCTCTGTAAGATGTGTCACATTGTGGGTCTGTGTGAATTGCATGGTTATAGCAAGGGGACTGCCATTGAGAGCTCTTTCTTCACAGAGTCACCTGTGACTAGGACAGCCGTACACTTCAGTTTTCCTGTGGATTTCTCAGTTATATTCGCAGTTCCAGGGTGCTATCGTATTGTAGTAATACTGCATACTATTTTAGTAGTCGTATTTATAGCTTTTTTTTCTTTTATTTTCTACGTTGCTTTAGTATGCAGGATAAATGGTATGGTCACTGTTATATGAAGGCTGCTTCTGAGAAGGGTATTTACTCATCTTAACAGGACTCAGAATTATCATATACTAATGGTTATTTATATAGTGAAATAATATGGAGTAAAATAAAGACACGTGAAAAATTAATGTGTAAGAACAAATTGTAAACTCTCAGACCCTTCCCATAGATACAGAACATTCAGTTCCCCCAGGAATACTTGATGATGTAGTTGAATCCAGGAAAGCTCATCTTAGTTTAGGGTATTGAGGACTTTTATTAGGGGTTAGTTACATAAATTTGTAGTGCTTGTGTGGCTGACCTTGGTTATGTAAGTTAAAAACCCCTAGGAAAAAAAACAGGTGTGGGCCTAAATCATATTTTTAACACAGACTGATAATCTGTTCAGATTGAAAAGGTAAGGCCCAATAACTATATGTGTTCCAAACCACTTACTATCAGACAGAATATTCTAGAAAGTCAGAGCTTAGTTGTTAGGAGCTGACCAAAGGCAAGTCCTGAAAACAAGTCATTTTGGGTATTTGTGTTCAGGGTTTGAACCTGTGCCTACTGAGGTAACTTCATAAGGCATATAAGTTACTCAAACTCAGTTCAGTCTGATAATGAGGTCTTGTTCTTTCTCTAATATCTAGTGGTCGTTTACAGTAATTTCCTAGTTAAAAAGAACCGGCCACATTAGATGTGAAAGAAACTTTGACTCTGTGTTCATTAAAACTATCTAATAAGCTTTTATCTAAACCCTTTCCAGAAGGGTTATGTGAATATTTAAGTGACTTTTTAAAATTATAAATAATGGTGTTGATCATATTTAATTTTAGAAATTGTCAGAAGTTTGTTTGATATACCAAAATATAATTTACCTGAAAGTAACATTTTTCTTTGTTTTGTTTTTTTGGTTTTTTGGAGACAGGGATTCTCTGTGTAGCCCTGGCTGTGCAGGAACTCACTCTGTAGACCAGGCTGGTCTTGAACTCAGAAATCCACCTGCCTCTGCCTCCCAAGTGCTGGGATTAAAGGCGTGCGCCACCACTGCCCGGCTTGAAAGTAACATTTGTTTTTTATTACAGTTTTGAATGTTCAAAAGGAGGTTCTGATAAAAGAAGTTTTTATATAATAAGGATTCCCTGCCTTATAGCTAGTAAGTTTGAATGCACTTACCTACTTTTCAAAAATATCTTTTTTTTTTCTTTTCCATAGGTATTTGTGGAAACATTAGACAAATGTTTTGAAAATGTCTGTGAACTGGATTTAATATTCCACGTAGACAAGGTACTGTTTTGTTTTTTATATTTTCAACTATTTTACTTTTTTTTTAGGAAGAACATTAATTTGCATTGTCAGAGTAAAATGGCATTTAATGAGCAGTAATTTTTATTCTGTTCAGTTATTTTTACCATGAACCAGACCATTTTGCTTGCATGAAAATAGAAAGACTATATATGCCCTAGAAGAGTTTATATCTAGAAGAGAAAATGGTATGGGCATAGTATTAGTAGAGACATAGTTGCCTCTGCCTGGGGATCTGTGATTGGAGGAAGTCATATTTAAACTGGGTTATAAAAATGAATAAAAGTTCTATGAACAGAAACGGAGGCCAGAAAAGCAGAGAACTAGTGTCAGAAATAACATACAGGCTGTTCTGTAAAGAGGGTTTGGTTTTGATCAAGAGGATTGATTTTGCCTTGCATTTTGGACTTTATTCTGAAGCAGTTTACTATTTTAAACAACTTTCTCTTGGCAATGTTGTTTTGTTTTTATGTGTTTGGGGGACGACTTTTTTTTTCCTGCAGCATAGAAATTAGGTCTGTAGACATTGAGATTTAAAGCAAGTGAATTAAGAGCTTGTTGGAATAAGTCAAAAGGAAATTTCCACCAAGGGAAGCTAAAGAAAGATTTGGTCAGAGTTAATGGCTATTAAAAGCTGAGAAGGAAATTTTGAGATTTAACCAGGAAGTAAGTGTGTGTGTGTGTTCGTGTGTGTGTTGTCTGCATGTGTGTGTGTGTACTATATGCATGTGTAGTGCCTGCAGAAGCCAGAAGAGGGTATCTGATTGAATCTCCCAGAACTGGAGTTACAGACAGTGTGAGATGACATGTGGGGTGCTAGGGGTTGACCCTGGGTCTTCTGAAAGATCAGCCAGTGGACTTCATCTCTGAGTCATGTCTCTAGCCCTGGTTGTTATTTTTGAGAAAGAGTTGATTCACACGCTGGACAAAATAGAGTGAAACATTCATTCAATGTTATGTTTATTTTGTGAATTGTTTTCAACAATTATGAATTGTTTATTTCTGTGGGTTTTCCATTTAATATTTTTGGACCAAAATTGACTTCAGGTGAATGAAACTTCCAGGAAGTGATAATACAGATGAGAGAGAATTCGGTAGTTAATATTTATCACTTATTTCAGTCACTTTTACAGATTGTTCTATTCAATCCTTTCAGTAATCTTGTGGAGAACTAATATTATCTCTGCTTTCAACTCAATAAACTTAAGACCTACGTAGGTCGTATAATTACCTGAAGTTCGTAGTGCTGGTGAAAGTGGATTTTGAGCCTTTATTACAAATTATTTCATTAGTTTTTAAAACAAAAATTACTGAAACAAAAACACTTTTTGCAGTGACTTGTCTGTCTATATTAATTTTTTTCTTTTAGGTTCATAATATTCTTGCAGAAATGGTGATGGGGGGAATGGTATTGGAGACCAACATGAATGAGGTCGTCACACAAATTGATGCACAAAATAAACTGGAGAAATCTGAGGTAAGACGGGAAAATGCTCTAGTTAGTGAGGGTTCTGAGCATGACCAGCAGCTATTTACATACGACTTTGTAGCTCTCACTGCTTGTCCTTCAGTATCAATCTTTAGGTACAGCTGGAGTGCCTGCCCATTCAGTTTCAGGAAATGAGTATGCACATTTTAGTATGTCAAAATGTCCCAAGACTGCTAATCTCCAAATAGCTTTATGTATTTCTTTAACCACAGTAGTAGCTGCCTTCAAATACGGTTTTAAACTGTTTCTGGAGGGGGAAAGGAGAGGAAATAGAATTGTTCTGAGGAAGTCATGTTTTGTAATAGATGTTTTGTCAAACTACATATTGAGACAGAGAGATTCAGCCCCTTAATCTTTTTTAGATCCTTCCCAGAGGTCAATAACAAGTTTGTTAAGTTCCATAGTTTACACATGAACACATACATTTTACTGTATTCTGTAATGGAAACATGTTTGTGGCTAACTCTGTGCTGTGAGATTCAGCCTCCCTCAGAATATGCTGAGTAAGGATATTTACACTTCACTTTAGAACTTTATTCACTTCTCTCAAGAGCTTCAGATCACTGGCAGGTGCTGCATCTGGACTGTTTAAGTTCACCTTGTCTTGGTGGCTGCTGCTTATGGTACAAGTTTAGAAAGATGAGCAGTCTTGATACCTTATTCAGTATTATATTTATTTGAAGACACTCTTACCTATTATTTGAGACAGAGTCTTACTGTGTTGTCCTGGCTGGCCTGGCATTCACAGAGATCCACCTGTCTCTGTCTTCTGGGTATTAGGATTTCAACACATGTATTACCATACTCAGCCCTTAAGGGTACTCTTACATTTTATAACTCAGACTGGAAATAAAAAAACAACAACAACAACAACAAATACATTCACATGATTATTAGTGGAAGTTCAGACACTTGGTCAGTTTCAAGTCAATATTACTATAAAAGTAGTAGGATTACTACACTAAATTAATTTACAGCAGGTGAGTTCTGAAAATACCTTGTTCATATTTAAAGTTCAAATAGAAGAAAATGTGGGATATGAGCCATAAAAAGTTGAAGCTCCTTATAAAATCACTTTCCTGTGTTTTAAAATAAAGGTATCTTCCATTTCTCCTTAATCTCATTCTGCCATCCCTCTTGGTTTCCAAAGGAGACACTTATGATGGGAATGAAGAGCTTCAAGACAGGACTCATAAAGTTACTGTGTATTGTATATGCTCTACCACCTGTTCTTACATTACTGACTTTAGAAAGTAGAAAATATGCAGTATATTATTAGAAAAAAGTTTTGTGTTAGATTAAGAAAAAGAACAGTGTTATTCAGTATATTTATTTGTAACATTATTTGGTACAGTAAAAGACAAACTATCAGCAACTTGAATTTATCATTTAAAGTTTTGAAATGTTGACTTGAAATACATACAAATTTTTCAGCATTGCTTCACAAAACTACATAAGTACAGTGTTTAAATGCCAAGGCCATAATAACATAATGCCTCAGTGGTTGGTCTAAACTATAGAGTTAATTTGTGAACTCTGTAATCTGTAAACACACACTAGTCACATGACTGGTTTTTCACATTTTAGGGACTTATTTCTTATTAGTGATGGTCCCTCCTTTCCTCCTCTTTTTTTCCTTCCTTCTTTTCTTCCTTTCTTTTTTCCTTTTCTTCTGTTTCCTTTTGTTCTGCATAGTGTTTTGTATAGTATTTGTAAAAGTCATGAGTAAGAAGTAAATTTTGGGTTTTTGGTTTTTGATTTTCAAACAGACTATATTAATAAGACAGTTTTTTTTTGTTGTTGTTGTTTTTTACCTATGGAGGGTAGCAAGATGCAGAATTTACATTTTTGGTGGGAATGCTATAGTTTTGTAAAATTACTATGCAAGCATATTCTTTCACAAGTATAATCTTTTTTATAGTTTAGAATATTGATGAATGCTTCTAATGGTCATCCTCTGGCCATGTTTTAATATATATAATCAGCTGCTATCTTTTCTCAAATTAGTATTTTTCTATGTGCATGTACTTTGCAAGAAGGTATGGTTTAACCAGATAAGGATTAAACCACCAAATTATGTTACATCCTATTTCTCAAAATAGTGTAAAAATTATATTGACTTTGTTGTCATTTTCAATGTTTGGAAGACCACACGCTAAAATCCAAGTCTTCACATTTTCATATTCAAGTCTTCAAGAATTCAAATCTTTAATTTTTTTAGTTAACTTCAGGTATGTAGACCTAACCAGCCAGATGCCTCTACAGACTAATCCAAAATTATTTGAGAGTAAAGTATTAATTTCTTAGTAAACTCCAGTTAAATTATTATAAAGAAAAAATAACAAGGAAGACATAACTAAAATTTTGATTGGTAAAAAGAACTGATCATATTTTTAAAATTCTTATGAACTATTTTAGGATTATCTTCTAGCTTTTGAAAAATTACCCTGAATATAATTAACTTATGGCTTTTAAAGTATTTATCTAGGTTACCTATTTTAATAATTAAATATGGTTGACTATTTTAATAATTAAATATGGTGACTTTGAGGCAGTGAGTTTCCAGTGATGGAAGAGAGTGACCAGTTTAATTCCTAGTGTCTAGACAGGTAGAAGGACAGGACTGCCCCATCCTGAAGGAAGAGAGAGGCAAAGGCATGCACAGTGTATTTTCATCTATTGTGATCTGATAGGAAAAAAATGGTTTATTGTCTCTTTGGGATTTGGGGAAAGGAGGGTTTAACCTGGGAGGTTGGTGGGGTTTCGGGAAGCTTGAGAGTCACCCAGTAATCTGCCAGGGAATAAAAGGAATTCTGGGGGTGGTAAAGGGATGGGGTGGGAGACTTGTTGGAATTATGTATTTCGTGTTATTCTTAAGGGGGATAAATGGATCTGAATTTAGTTACTACTTTTTAAGTCAGTCCTCCTTTTTCCTGAACATCCTGATCTTTCTAGCTCTTTCCATTCTTCTCTCTTACAGACCTTTATCTTTCAGTCTCCCAGACAGGACAGGTAGACAAGGTATTGCTGACTTTGAGAAAACGTACTTAACAAAGGGAAAGCAAAATGATGTCGAAGGCAATTACTTTTTAGGCCAGACTCAAAAATTCTTTGTGTTAATGAACCCATATAGTCCCTGTAGCCTATTTTCCATTCTAGTTTCTCCTTGTAGTTTCTCCATCTTTTATTGGATGTAGTGTATTTTACTAGTATATCATTGGCGTCATGTTTGTTCTGTTTTGTCTGCCTGCATTGTAAAAGGAAACTTTTAATTCTTTGTTTTATTTTTTTTATAAAAACATGGTCATTTAATTGAAAAATTACATTTGTAGAAATGACAATTTATTTATATATAAAAAGTTAATTTTGAGCATCCCCTTAGCAGAACCAGTCTCATTTTAACTCTAGTGATAGATAGATAGATAGATAGATAGATAGATAGATAGATAGATATGCCTGTATTCTTTTTTTAAAAATAAATTCTACATTAAGGTTCTAACATAAAATTACCTACTGGGTCTTGGAAGCTGTGAATTTGAAACCAAAAGCTGAACCTTTTGAGTTTTCATATATAGTGGGGAGCAGTGGAGGTTTAGAGTGATGACTGTTACATAGTTCAATGACTAAAAATCCTTTCCTTGTAAATGGTTTTCAGTTCCAAAATCTTAACAGAATTGTTTTTACAGTTTTGACCTACTGGTGCATAGTGGCTAACAAAAAGACTAAACTTTTAAAAGATGAATGAGATCTAAAAATAAAATTATATATACCAAAATACTAAACATTCAAACACATTGGGTTTATAAAGCCTGTTGGAAGGATAGGAAAAGTTTTAAATAAACTCCTAGATTTACCAAACTAATTTTTCTTGTTTGTGCTACACACATACACAAACCCACACTCACCCACTTACCTTAAAACATACATACAAATACACATACCTTTGATTGTTTCATAAATTAGCAGTGAATTACTGTTTTAAAAGCCTTATGGTGGTGATGATGATGAGCACTTTTTGTTTTTTTTTTAATAAAATCACTTTCTGAAAAATAATTAAAATGGTTATAAACTTCCAATTGAAAATTTCCAAGTTAGCATAATTGACTCTATGGGAGACAAAGTGCTCTATAAGCTAGCAGTTGTTACCTGTCCTGACTGGCTAGAACAGCCTTCTGGAGAGTCTGGCACTGTTCTTTTGCCATGACATCACTAGTCTGGATGGGCTTGAGAAGTAGTGATGCATAGTAATAGGTTTATAGTAAGTATAATTTATATCTTAGTCTGAGATTACAGTCTATTATGTACTTCAGAGACAGTTTTTGGCCCCTATATTTAAGTATTATTTTCTGGTATGGAAAATATCTAATGACCTCTTCCTACTAATTACCAGCAGTTTCTATGTTCCAGTAATTACTTGTATTAAAGTATTTTCTAACAAAAGAGACAATAGCCACTTAGGTCTTTTAACTTTTAACAATTACTAAAACTAGTAATTGAGCTTAAAGAAATTAAATGTATCTGTTTCAAAAGAATTAAGGTAGAAGTGTAGGAAGGTTAGCACATGAGTTGGTACTTTCCCCTTAACTTGATAGGAACATTTACTATTTTACGAAATTAATATGAGGACTCTTGAGGTCATGTGCTATGCTCAGAACTACCTATAATCAAATCCTGAGTGTTATTTGTCTGCTGTATTTATTTCACCCAGGCAGAATCTCTGTCACAGATTAAAACTGTGGGGCCAGGTGTGGTGGCACACGCCTTTATTTCCAGTACTTGAGAAGCAGAAGCAAGCAGAGGTCAAAGTCAGTCTGCTTTTCAGAGAGAGAGAGAGAAAGAGAGAGAGAGAGAGGGAGAGGGATTAAAAGTAAAATTGAAGATGATATGTAAGTTGATTTTTTTGAGGGTTTTAAAAGCTTTTGAAATTTTGCTAAAGTTGCTTATAAAGTGCTGTAGGTCCGGCTCACTAGATTGTCATCAGGATGTCTAATGCATTAGGAATTGTGACTTAAGCACCGCCTTCAAAGCAGGAAACAAGCCTGTCTTGTCTTGCTTGGTTTGTTTGTTTGTTTGTTTTGTTTTTTGAGACATATTTTGGCAATATAGCTCAGGCTAGCTTTTAATTGAATTCTGGGATTGCAGGTGTGTGCCACTGTGCCCTGCAACAACAAGGCTATATAAATTCCCAAATTAAAAGTTAATCTGCCTCCCATTAAGAAATTAAAAGATTTGGGATTTTCTGTTTCACTAAAAAACAATGTTAATTAAATTTAGTTAATGATGTCATTGTTTTGTTAATGATTTTGAGTCTGAAACCATTTAATACCATGTTTGTTAATGTTGGTCTGTTTGATTTGGCTGTTAGGTAAAAATTACTAATGTTCATATAGCAGTTTCTAGAAGAAAGGGTAAAGAAAGACTTCAGTTTGTATAGGTTAATCCAACTACCATCTCATAATACTATATTTCAAGCTTGAAGAAAATACTTCAAGGTGGTAGGATGGTATTTTATACATTATGAAATCAGAAGTACTATTAATTCTGTTTCCCTTCAAGAAAATTGATTACTGCATGAGGAAAAGGAAGTTTTCAGGTTCTTTCAAATATATTTTAGCAATGCTGCTTTTTCAGTTTTGCTTGCACATATTTTGTTTATTTTTGGGTCTGGCAATTTAAAAACAAAATCAAAACCAAATCATATCCATCCATTACTATCTTTGTGATTCAGGTGCTTGAAATTCCCAAGAGTATGTCTGTACAAGTCTTCTATCTGTTTGGCCTCATTTTGGTATACCTGCAGACTTCATTTTGTTTTCTTTCTCTTAATTCTGTTAATTTATTTAACCTCATGGGAGAGAAAACATTGCCATTCTTTTCTCTATGGTACTTCATTCTTTCATCCAGTTCATACTCTTAGCTGCTTTGGATTCATATATTTGTTTTCGTTAGTGGAGTGGCCGCTGCTTAGCTGCCATGGTAGTGCGCTGGTATAACCGATGGAAACAAGTTATTTCTCCAGTACAACTTCCTTCTTCTTATTTTTGCTTTGTGTCCACTATGCAGTCTTAAATATTTACCAGCAATGCTGTACTGTCAAGAATATCTTATTTTTTACATTCTAAAATGATATATTCCACTAAAAAGTGAGGTGAACTTAATTTCTATAAATGTTGCTGTTGAAAAAGTTGTTAGTGAAAGTTACCTATTTGCTTTGAGTACATCTTCAAAAAAATAAGCTTAGCCAAGATGAAAATTACTTTCACCTGTGTCAAAAAACTGATTTCCTAACAGGAAATTACCTTTTCCATATTTTATGTTTTAGTAAAACTGTTTCAGACTTACAGTCACTGACGTCTGAAAATGAAATTTAATTTTTGTTTTGGTGTTATATGAATAACACAGTCTTTTTGTTTAAGTTATAATTTACCTTCAAACATCTATAATTCATGTAAACTTTATGAAGTGATCAGTAGGCCTGTTATTTTTTTATTTATGTTCTGCAGAATCTGATCTCTTTGAATATTAGCTTAATTAAAATTAAAATATATATTTCATTGTCTACTAGCATTTACTTTCCTAGTATACCTACTACACAAAAGCATTGAACATGCTTGAGAAATAATTTGATTCTGCTAATTCATCTGCGTGTTCTAAATAGTTCCCATCCTCTGCATGTCTATGGCTTGCTGCATATGTTTAGAAGAGGTCTAGATTGTCGCACTTAGAAACTTGTGGTTTTGCATAGCACTATGTGGCATATAAATGCTATTGACATCAGTTTCTATGGTGACTTTGTATATTTTAATTAGTGCTAAGAGTTGAAACTATCATTGGTCACAGAAATAGTTTAATGAAATGTAACAGGATGTTTTCTTTTACTTTGCCTGAGCTTAGCTATAGCACATGGTATTAATAGAAAACAAGACTTCACGATAGTAAAAAATAGGGCTCCTCTTTATAAAAGTAAACTATCAAATGAGCAAAATAAGACACATTCTTTCTCAATAATAGAATCTTTTAATAATCTATACCTTTAAAATATTTACATTCAAATACTTTTCCATAGTCACCTTTTTATATGTAATCCTTTATGGAAATTCCACACTAAAATAGTAGCAAGTTGATCTGGGAATTTGAAAATTTACCAAATCCTTTACTTGGAAAAATTATGATAGTTCCAGATGCCTACAACTTTGAGATAATTTCTGTTCCCTTGCAGACAACATGCTTTTGGGAAAGGAAAACTTACAGGATTGTAACCATATTTGAACTAAATTATTTGGTCCTGAGTCATTCTAAATTTTGATAGCTAGGACTTTTACTTGAAATTATCAACTTAAAGATCCTTTTGAATATGATGTATATTCAGTTATATTATTCTGAAGATGTGATATTTAGTTGTATCTTTAACATCTTTGGGTGTGGGTGGGAAGGAAGTGGGGTATACATACCATAAGCTTCATTGTTTCAGGTAGGTACAAATGAAGAAGTCAATCAAATTTTCAGTCTTGCATCAAAAACAGCCTTCATTAAGTTACAGAAATTGAATTATTCCACCTTATCTGGACTTGGGTATGGAGCTTTCATCCATTATCACCCATATCATTGCCTGTGTAGACCATATCAATTATTAATAGTTTTACTAATTTTTCTATTTCCAATCCTAAATTGATAATCCATGGCTTTTATTTTATTGCTTAACAATGTTTGTATCCTTTATTCAGCAAATAGTTTACACTGGCCTATTTTGTATCAGTCAAGATTTTTCTCAGGTAACAACAGCTTTATTATTATTATTATTTTAATTAAGAGAGGTAGGATTACAGAAGACAAAAACTTATATTATTTAAAGAGACTTTAAAACTATTGCTTCAAATTTCATGGATATTTTCTTTTCATAGATGTAATTGATCAGAGGGGAAGGGTTTTTTTTTTTTAATTGTTTTTTGTAAAACAATGCCACTGAACTCAGATGTATTTGTTGGCCTTTGCTTTTTATATAGTCTGAATTTTTAAAAAAACAATGAAATCTTATGGTGTATGTTAAATCTTGACAATGAAGCCTATTAATAAAATTCAAAAGTTACATATATTCATTTTTAAGTTTAGTTTTTGTCAAATTATTTGACAAATTATAAATGTTCCTACTAGAGGAAGCCTAGTGTTACACACTAATGGTAATAACTATAAATTTAAAATTGATTTCTTTACATAAACTATTCTCTCTCCAAGTTTGTGTGGTTGAAACTTGACTTGTGTTATTGAGTCTACTTCAGATGACAAAGCATGTGAAATCATTAGATTTCTTCTGGTGACTTGCTCAGGAGAGTCTCCATGCAGTTTCAGCTTTGGGCAAAGTTGTTCTTTTTAGGCTAAGGCTTCTCTAAAGGTGTGATTTTTTTTTTTTAATTTAGTGTTTTAGACCTTTCTTAGAAAAGTTTGGAAGAGCTTCCACAGTATTACAAACTTCATTGTTTTGAAATGTAAAGGTAGCCCTGAATAAAGAAACTAAATAATTACTATTACTTTTATTTTACAAACATATATTGGTGATAATTTCCATTTTAAAATAAAAATAAATCTGTCATGATTGTTTAAGACATTCTAATAAGGAAACTAATATAATCACTCTTCAAAACTCATCACTGTTAAAATTGAAGCTAAAAATTTAGGCTTTATGTGAACATTGTGTGTGGTATCTGGGTAGCACATATAATTCGTACTTAAATTTTTCTTTACATTGTTATTGCATGTATTCACTATATTTTCTAATGTGTCAACTGTTTTCTCTTTATAGATTAGTATTTCAAAGTAACCATCTCATACTGATTCAAACTACCATCTGCTCTCTAAGCTTGTGATGTGAAAACCTTTATCATTGTCTTCCATTGCTAAGTTTGTTTGTAATGAGCTACACCTGAGTTGTACATTTTCTTTTTCTTTTATTTGCTTTCGTATACAGGCTGGCTTAGCGGGAGCTCCAGCCCGTGCTGTATCAGCTGTAAAGAATATGAATCTTCCTGAGATCCCAAGAAATATTAACATTGGTGACATCAGTATAAAAGTGCCAAACCTGCCCTCTTTTAAATAAATATTAAAAAGGCCACTCCCAGGTAAAACCCAGAGGGAAAGTCATCTAAGTTTACCATGCAATTGTTTACCAAAAATAGAGGAGGAGAGTCTTAACTTTGCTCTTGGATTTAAGTCAAGGTACTGTATAGAAGCTGCATAAAATCAATATGGAAGTTCAATGTTGCTTTTCTTGCTCAGTGATTTTAAAGAAATTGACTAGTTCCCGTGTGATTTTTTTTTCCTTTTCTAAATTGCATTCCTATGCCCTCATAAAGGCATGCCTCTATATATTGGCTATTACAGTATTTCGAAAAGTGAGATGTTTCTTTAATTATGTACAACCCAAGATGTTGATGTTTTGTATGGATCACAAGTGCAGCATTCTCTAATTCTTTCTGCTGTTTGTCACAATTGTTATTTAAAGAACCAAGTATGTATTGCATGAAAACATGACCTTTTCTTTAGTTTAAATAAACTCCAAGGTAACTGGACTTCTAAAGTACCTTTCTGTTTTGCTTGGTATCTACTTTAGCAATAATTTTTTTTACAACCTTCTGACTCAACAAAGTAAATAAAAGTCTATTTTATCACTGTTAAGCAGCTGTTAATGTTGACTTTTTCAATTCACACTCATGTTTTTACTCCTCAGAGGCTCACCGAGTCATTCAGAACCTGCTGTGTCACAGAGATCCAGTGATGTAGCTCAACATGTTTATTTTGTATGACTTAAGTAGGAGATTGTGTGTCTTTTTCAAAAGTGTTAAAGAAATGTTTTGTTTTTCTATAAATACCCTTGCCTTAAACTCTTGGCCTTACATTCTTGCCCAGATGATGAACAGTGATGTCAGCAGATAGCTGTTTGTAAGATTGCACATAGAGTTATAAAGTCATAGCTAAACCAACTGTTGAATCTTGATTGGTTGGTTTTGCCTTTTGAGTTCTGGCATATGGACTAATTTCTTGTTGGCTCATATCTTCACGTATACTCTTCCTTCAGGAACTTAGGGTTCATTCCCTAGTTAGACCATGGTTTCCATATAGTTCTCTTTCCAGACATGTTTTCTTTGAAGCACTTCTTCAGATTTGTTTTATATATGAATTTTAAGAATTCTGTAAGAAAAAGAAATCACTTTTTTTCAAGCTTTGTCTCATTTATTTCACCACTTTAAGCAATAAGTCAAAACAACCTGTTATTAATAGAGTTTTCCCCCTACATTGAATTGTATTTATTTCTATGTGAAATCACAGACTTTATCATATTGAGGTAAAAGAAAATTGACTCTTCAGTTTTTGCAATTCCACCAGTTCTGAGATGGTAAAAAGACTTAGGGGAAAGCTGTACAAGTGGGAACTTGTAAAGGGAGGGTGGTCAGGAAGAGGTAGTAGTGAACAGCAGAGCCCGTATTCAGGGATGTGCTTAGGATCATTGAAAAACAGCAGGAGCCAGTAGCAGAGTGAAGGAAAGATAGAAAGGGTTACTGAATGTCCCTGATATCAATCTTTTAGAAAATGTCATCCTGAGTGAGGTAACTCAGACTCAAAAGGACATACATGGTATGTACTCACTACTAAGTGAGTATTAGCCCAAACAGTACAGAATACCTAGGATACAATCCACAGAACTCAAGAAGATAAACAAAGCTGAAGGGCCCAAGTGAGGACGCCTCAATCTCACTTGGGAGGGAAAGCAATCACAGTAGGCAGAGAGATGGGGAGGTGAAAGGGGGAACAGGATCAGGTATGGGGGGTGGGAATAAGAGAGAAGCCCTGAGGGCCATTGAAAAGAACGGAAATATGCAACCTGCAGGGGGACAGGGAGGTGGTGGGGGACCCTCTAGAATACACCAGAGACTTAGGAGGTGAGAGACTCTCAGGACTCAAAAGGAGGGACCTTAGATGAAATGCTCAACAGAGGAGAGAGGGAACTTGTAGAGTTCACCTCCAGTAGAAAGACAGGGCATCAAGTGGAGGGAAGGAGTTGCCATCCCACAGTCAAAAACACTGACCTGTTCCTGTCTAAAAGAACTGCAGAGACAGAAATGGAGAAGAGACTGAGGGAAAGGAGGTCCAATGACTGGCCCAACCTGGGATCCATCTCAAGGGGAGGCGCCAAGGCCTATTACTGATGCTATGATGTGCTTATTGACAGGAGCCTAACATGGCTGTCCTCTGTGAGGCCCAGCAAGCAGCTGACTGAGACAGACTCAGTTACTTATACCCCACCAATGGACTGAAGTCAGGGACCCCAGTGGTTGAATTAGGGAAAGGCTGGAAGAAGCTGAGGAGGAAGGCAGTCTAATTTGAAAACCAGCAGACTCAACCTAGACCACTAAGATCTCTCAGACACTGAGCCACCAACCAGGCAGCATACACTAGCTGGTCCCAGGCTCCTGACACATACACAGCAGAGGACTGCCTGGACTGGCCTCAGTAAGAGAAGATGTGCCTAACCTTTGAGAGACTTGAGGCCACAGGGAGTGGGGTGGGAACATCTTCTTGGAGATGGGGAGGGCGGACCAGGAGGGGGTAATGACTGGATTGTAAAAACATGAAAGTAATTTGGGTTGTCATACCAACCCAATAGGTATGACACTTTGTCATACCTATATTTAAAAGATTTGGGGAAGGAAATGAAATTATTGGATAAATAAAAGGCCCTTGGTTTGTCACGTGGAGCGCCACTCCCTAAACTTCTTTATCTCCTTCCTTAATCTTAGCAGGCATCCCCCGTCTTCCATTTTTCTTAATATTTACTTGGGTTGTAATACTTTTGAAGTTTAAGGGTCCTCAAAGTACATATTGAAAAAGACTCATACTAGTGCCCTAGTTGGCCTGGTGCTATGTAATAAAGTAATATACAGTTGGTAGTTTATAAATGGCAGAAATTTATTCCCACGGTTTTGGAGACTAAGACATTTCAGATCAAGACATCAGCATGTTTGTTTTTGTTGGTTTTGTCTTTGTTTTTTATTTTAGTCTGGCAAGGGCCTTGGTTTTTTTGGTCCAGACAAATACCTCTTAGCTGTGTCCTTTGAGGATAAATGGACTAGCTAGCTCTTCAGGACCTCTTAAGGGCACTAATTCCATTCGGTTTTTTGGGGTTTTGGTTTTTCAAGACAGGGTTTCTCTGTGTAGCCCTGGCTGTCCTGGAACTCACTCTGTAGACCAGGCTGGCCTTGAACTCAGAAATCCGCCTGCCTCTGCCTCCCAAGTGCTTGGCCACTAATTCCATTCATAAGGGCCTCATCCTCATGACATAATTACTTCTAAAGGGCTCCTTTATACGTTTGCATTGGTAGTTAGCATTTCAACATAAGAGTTTTGAGCAGTATCTTACTTTCTTTGAGCTGCTGAAAACGTTCAAAGTAGCTTATAAACAAGTGGCACTTGTTTGTAATAGATTTGGAAGTTTGCATTTAAGATCAGGCCTTCAGCATATTTGTTGGTAGGGGACTGGCTTATAGGTGCATAGGGGAGGAAAGAGCTGCAAGGTCATAGCAGATGTTACCTGTCAACTCTCTAGATCACGGATTCTCAACCTTCTTAATTCTGTGACCCTTTAATACAGTTCCTCATGTCGTGGTGACCCCCAACCATAAACTCATTTTCATTGCTACTTCATAACTGTCATTTTGCTACTATTATGAATTGTAAATATCTGATATGCTGCATATCTGATATCCGACCCCTGTGAAAGTGTCATTTGACCCCCTCAAGGGGGTCATGAACAGATCATCTTGGCAAAAATTAGCAGAGTTGACTTACGTCCCGTGGTAGAGATGATTGGGGAGCATGAGAGAACTCTCATATTGATACCTGGGTTGTGATTTAACATTTAAAAAAATAAAATATAAAGTTCTGTGGGAAATTTTAATGAAAAATAAACATTTATAAACATACCTTGTGGCACTTTGTGGTGATTCTGAATTCCTGTGTGTCTTTTGTTTTGATTTTTAAAATCAAGATCTATGTGTCCAGTGTTGGCCTTCATGATCCTCCTGTTCGGGCCTCCTAAGTGCTGAGACTACAGGTGTGTCTCTCAACTCTTAGTTGATATCCTTTACTATAAATACATTTATTACATTCATTTTCCTCCAAACAAAATAGTACGTGAAATTAATTGCTTATCTCTAAGAAAATGGTTAGCGTAAGTGCTATGTTAGTTTTAATAGCTAAAGAGTATAATGACCCAGTGTCTGTCTAGGATTACCTGAAAGGCCACATTATGTCCATACCATGCTGTTCTCCACTGCCAGAAAGAATAAAAAGGTCCCCAAAGATTGCCAAGAAATAGCCCGTAGAATACACTGCTAGGTGAAAAAAAGGAAGATAGGGAAGTAGACGTATGGTATGGTATGGTATGGTATGGTATGGTATGGTATGGTATGGTATGGTATGGTATGGTATGGTATGTGTGTGTATGTATGTATATATATATGGGCTTTTCAGGAAAACTGTATGTAGGAAACTATTGAGAGGTTATTATGAGCAGTTGGGTTACTTGATGTTGAAAGAACTGAGAGGTCCAAGATCTGCAGCATCAATGATACAGGGCTCAGGAACAGCTGATCAGTTTTCATCTTAGGAAAGGAAAAAGCCAGTGATGTAGTTCAAAAGTAGTGAGACGAGGAAATCTCTTCCTTGGGGCCAGCAGGTAAGCCGTAATATATCAATTATCTTTAAAAGAAAGTGGAAAATTCAGGGCTACATAGAGAAACCCTGTCTCGAAAAAAAACAAACAAAAAAAGTGGAAAACATATGTATTTTCCTTTTTTTTTAATGCAAGCATAAGTCACACATAGTGAGAGAAAACAGGAAATTGAGGCTACAAGTAAACCTTCTCAACATTGTTTTCAAACCATTTTATATAGTTCTTAGTCCCTAAAAGTTGAAATTGAAGCAGATAAACTGATTTATGAAGTGAGCTGGTAGTATTACTTCAAGAGAACAAATACTTCTCATAACTTTGAAATACTTGGCCATGCATGACTATAGCCAAATAGACCTGTGGTCCCTCTCTCTAACTGTTCTTGTGAATTAGTGTTAGTGCATTTTCTGAGACTATGGATAGGAGTTCCCATGTTCTTATTTAATTGATGGATCTATTCCCTACATCTTGGCCCTGGAAGATGATAGTGAACTAGTGAATTACTACAAATTTCAGGTTGCAGCCCAATTGTAGCTATTGTGTCAATGTGATATGTGTTCGAGAAGATTAATAAAACCATGGTTTGTCATATACATACATAATTATTACATTTGAATACATACATACATACATGTTGAGGTTTGTCTTTTGCTATGTATTGTGCTATTGCTACGTGTGTGTATGTATAACGAATGCTAATACTGGCTCCCAAGGCCTGGTTGCCCACAGGAATGAGATAATCCACACATACAACTTGTAACTTTGGTCCTTAATTTAAAGCTTGGTTAAATAAAGATGCTGACAGCCTATAGCTGGGCAGGAAATAGGTGAGGTTTGGTTCCCAGCTTGGAGAGAGGGAAGAGAACATGGGGAAAGGAGAAAGAAAACACCATGGGGTAACAGTCTTAAAAACATGGCCATGAGGGTGGCCAGTTGGAGTTAAGAGCAGCCCAGGTGGAACATGGGAGGTCATATTGTGGGGTTATTGGCAGGGAGATAGATATTCATAGTAACGTAGAGGGTTGATATCTGCCCAGCTCCAGTGCATTATAAGCTTATTATAAATATAAAAGTTGTGTGGTTTTTATCTGGTAACTGAATGACCAAAGGCAGGGTGGAAAACCCCGGTTTGAGATTAAATACCAAGTACAACACATACATACAGTATTGATCTGGTAACTGCATTCCGTGTGTGTGGTGTACATGTAAGTGTGTAGGTGCACATGCATTTAGAGGGCAGAGCAGTACATCAGGTGTGTATCTTCCCGTCACTCTGCCTCATTGTTTTAAGAAAAGGCCTCTTTCTAAGCTAGAAGTTTACCATTGCTGATGTCATCCTTGCAACCATGCCTGACTTTGTTTGTGTTCTATTTTTATTTATTTTTGCTTTAATAATGAACTGTTCACAAAAAAAAAGGTGTGAGAGGAAGGAGGGATTTAACTTGGCTGATGAAAAAAAATCAAGTAGGGATGACATTTCTAGTTTCATAAA